AGCTCTGATTGGCTGGGAGCGCAGAGTCGACCAGGCTTTGCTGTGTGTGTTAGGACTTGGATCAGATGGGGCTCTGTTGGACTCGTGTCACCAGTGCTGTTATGATGATAGGCTGCTGATGGACAGTGATTATCAGGTGTGCAACAAGATCCATTTCTCCACAAATGATAAACGTAAAATGGACTCAAACTCAAGTCAAAGTCCTACAATGTTTGTACAGATCTGAGACGTGGAAAGGTTAAAGTACGTCGTACAGGACTGTGCTTCTTCAGTTGTTCAGCTTAGACAGTGAATGGGTGGATGGAGTCTTAAACCAAAGTTTGGATGGATCGACTCTTTGTTTTATTGAGATGATCAGGATTTCTGTGGGACAGAGCAATATTTTTTGGCATTTCTCTGTAAAAAATCTGATTAAACTCATGATTCACAAGTCCTAGTACTTTTTTAAAGAAAGAGAAATTTTATCATGAGCTCCCCCCTGCAGGTGTAGTCTTGTGAGTGCAGTTTGGGTCAAATACAGAGATTACAGAAGAATAGTTTTGAGAGCTTTTACCACAAACTCTTTTCAGTCAACTAATTGATTAACAGGCTTGTCTATAGTATTTACAGTAGAAGAGGCAACAAGGACAAGCCAAATACGAGTGACACAAGTCCTAAGAAGCAGCTCAATGTCAAGAACAAGACCTGGGCAGTAAACAGCTCCGTCCTGTCAGTGATCAGATCCCAGCAGGAATCATGCACTGGCCAAAGGAGGAGATACAGATCACAGATGTTAAGACACAAAAGCTCCTGACCATGTAATAATAATAATAATAATAATACATTTTATTTATATTGCACTTTACATAAAATAATCTCAAAGTGCTACAGGGAGGGTTCCATCCCAAATCCAGCACCTTGAGACTGTACACAGGCCGGAAGGAAGGAGGCTGAGGACTAGTGAGTGTGGGAACCACTGTCCAGGATGAAACATCCAAGCTGCTTGAGAACATCAAGGACAAGGCCCCGACAGATGAATGTCTCAGACAGTGGGGTCCAGAGGAAGAGGAGCTGGAGGGACAAACCCCTACATGGAGCAAACCACCGGAACAGAACTGAAGTGGCTAGTATCAAGAAATCCTACCAATGGCTTCAGAGGACTGGTCTGAAGGACACACAGAGGCACTGATCCTGGAGTACAGGAGCAGGCCCTGAGCACCCGGGCAGTAGAGGCCCGGATCTACCACACCAGACCAGACCCACGGTGTAGACTGTGCAAAGAGGCTCCTGAGACAGTCCAGCACATAACTGCAGGTGTAAGATGCTGCAGGGAAACAGACATGGAGCGACATAACCAAGTGGCGGGCATAGTGTACAGAAACATCTGTGCAGAGTACGGGCTGGAAACCCCAGGATCAAGGTGGGAAACACCTCCAAAGGTTGTGGAGAACAACCAAGCCAAGATCCTGTGGGACTTCAGATACAGACTGAGAGGATGGTGATGGGCCAACCAGACATAGTAGTATAAGGAAAAAGGAACATAGAGAAACTAGAGAAATACCAGGGGCTCAAGAAGAGCTGGAGAAGGTCTGGAAGGTGAAGGCATCAATGGTGCCTGTGGTCAGTCCAGAAAAGTGCAGGATATTAACAGCAAAGATACTGTCCAGAACTCTCAAGCTCCCAGGCCTCTGGTAGAGGAGTCAAGTTGGATGTGAGAGAAGAAAGTGAAAGGTGAAAAGTGAGGAGCACTTTTATATATATATATATGTGTGTGTGTGTGCGTGTGTGTGTGTGTGTGTGTGTGTGTGTGTGTATATATATGTAAATATATATACACCAAATAGGACCAACATTCGATACAAAACAAATTTCCACATCATCGCCAATTTCTAACACCTGTGTCTCAACAGTGCATCCCCACAGAGCACCTTCTGTTGTTCTGCTAATACTTATATACTTACAATACTTTGGTGTATTATATATTAGAAGCATGATTCTAAATCTGATCAGTTTTAATATTTAGATTCATCCTCTTATCATGGTCAAAAATCTGTTCCATCAGAAAAAACAAATTCCTGCATGCAATTTTCTATTGAAAAACTGTTTGGTTTGCTGTGTTTCCACTTAATCATTATAATTGTTGCTACTATAAAGGCGCGACTGGCAATTTTGTACTGATATTTTATTGGAAATTGAGCAGAAAGGCAACCTAACAAACAGGTAAGTGGACTTAACGAAAGGCTTTTATTTAGTAACTTAGAAACAACACAAGTTATTTGATTCCAAAAAGCCTGAATCTCTGGACAGTGCCACAACATGGAGGTAATGTTCCTTTTTGCTCACAAAGGTCACTGGAGTGAGGCTCTTTTGAGTGTGGCTGGAGTTACATTTGCTTTGTGTAATGTTTTAAGTTGTATCAACCTAAGTCTCACTGATTTGGAGATTTTTGTAGCGTCTCTCCAGATTTGTTTCCATTGTGGAGTTAAATTGCACTTTAAATTCTGTTCTCACTGAGGCTGTG